ATATGTAATTAAAATAACTTAAGTTACCATTTTTAATGGAGGTTTGTACGATTTTTTCATATTTGTTTTGGTAAGAGGTTTGTTGGAGATATGTGTGGTAAAATCTTAAAGATTATAATTATTTATATGATCATACAACAACAAATCAATCTGAATATTGAATTAAATTTAATTCAACTCTTGGGTTGAAAATTAAAAATTTGATTCCCTCAAACTGTGAACTTTTGAAGCTATATTTAAAGCAAAATTTTTAAAGCTATATTTATAGTTAAATTTTTAAAGCAATATTTAAAGTATAATTTTCTGAAAAGCTTAGAGTCAATAATACTCATATTATTACTATGCAAAATTAAATTCTTCATTGATTGGTACAAGTAATGGCTTAAATAAAAAGCTTATCTTGAATGATTTACAAAATTTATGATGTCATTTTACGACAGGTATCACAATATTATTTTGCGGCAATTAATTAGCTCAATAAAAACAATTTAGGTTTAATAAGAATTTCAATGACATCATGAATTAAATATGCTATACCTGTATAGTTAATTAATATTAATGAATAAAGATTTTATAGATTGTAAAGTTGGCGGTATTAACGTAAGTGATTAATAAGTTTATTTGGAGTATAAAATTTTTAAATAAATTGCTATTATAACTCTCCCGATGCATTTTTCTGACGAAGTACAATATCAAGGTTATATACAGTGTTATCTCTGTAAAAATGCACCCATAAAATTTATATTTTGCTTTAGTAGAATAATGTATAATAGTTAGTATTTCGTAAAATCCCTCTAATGTTAAAAATAAAACATTGGACCTGTTTTTGATATTTTATCCATAGAGTAAAAAGGATCAGTTGACAAATTTTTGAAAAATAGCAAAAATGGCATTTCTATAATTAGGAATTAACTGGGAATTTTAGTGAACTTAGTACAATAGTTTATTGTTTGATTTGACGATTTAATTGCTCGAAGTCAATTTGGAACTTTGTGCCCCGCTATACTATAATAATGTTCTTAATTTGCGCAGAATAATAGGAATAATAACTCACTTTTTAATAAAGACAATATACTACATAATTTTAATTAATCATTTTAAAAACAGAATAAATATTTCGACTAATATTCATAAACTACCATGGTCTACATAATTTTGAAATTTTAGTAACAATTATTACTGAACCATAAAAGTTAAAAATTGCAAGGGATGTTTTCATCATATGTTAAATAATGTTTTATTTGGTACATTTAAAAAATTTCCTTATGCCAGTTTTATAACTATTTTATATAAAATTATGAAAACAGTAAATTTACCAATATGCTCTAAAATAATCTAAATAATAAGTTCAGCAATAAAAGATTTCATCATAATATTTAAAATTTTGTCAAAAAATCTTAGGAGAAAGTAGCAAATTGAAAATATTTTGTCGTCGATTATAGAAAATTGTGAATATATAATTTTTACGAATATGCTCTGAAATCACTAGTAGTTCCAACTAAACTAATTTAAAACTTATTTCTCGCTTTTTTACCTGTCTTTGTAAAAAAAGTAGAATTTTTATCCAAATCACAATAAAAGATTCAATTAAAATATTCAAAAATTTTTTAGGAGAGAGTGGCAAATTGAAAACATTTTGTCGTCATAAAAAATTGTCAAAATATGTTTACCAATATGCTCTAAAATTACAAGTAGTTCCACCTAATTAGTTCAGGCTCAAAAAGTTGAGTCAAATTAAGAAAGCTAATTGAAAAAGTTTAAATTTCGTCAAAAATCTTTTAGTAGATGGCTCTCTTTCCTAGAAGATTTTTCGACAAAATTTCAAATATAATTGAACACATTTTCCCGTCAGTTATGGAAAATAGAGAATTAACGCATTTGTCTAAATAATCGTAATGTAACAAATACATTATTTAAATTATACTTTAATTATACATTATTTAAATTATTCTATTATGTCAAGGAATTCTTCTCTACATTTTAATTTTTTGCTAGTAAAATATAAAAGTAAGGCAAACATTACCATGAAGAATGAGTAAAACCAAAATTATAGAAATTATTGGATGATTCATCTAATTATCATCAAATAATAATTATCAATATTCATCAAAACCATCTAATTATGCAAAATGATATAAAAGAGTTTTTTCTTAATTAAGAGAAACTTTGCATTTTCAAGGACATTTGAATTATATGTTTATTTTCATGTGATGATCATCTCCAGTTTCTTTTAAACAAAGGTTGGTCTAAAGATTTCCATGATATTAATATCGCATCTTAATATCGGTCAAATATTTTAAACAAAAAGCTCACGAGTCAAATTTGAATATCATATTTCAGATGTTCTTCAATATGGTGATAATCATCTTGAATATTTTTTAAACACCATGCCATTAAAGATAAGACTCGTGCCCACAATTAATGCTACAAATTAAATTTTATACTTCATAAACCAAAACAAAATAATTTCGTAATAAAATTTCATGTATTTTGTTCAAAATGAAATTTGTAGATTTTTTGAAACTAATATTTTTTTTAATTTAAAGAAAATAATTTGATGATTTAGATTAGCTTTAGATTAGAGTTATTTACTTACTAGATATTAGATACAACTACGTTATTTACTTATTTAGAAAAAATCTTTAAAAATAAAAATATATTTGATTTTATAACATTTGATGATTAATAATAATTTATTAAAAAAATATAATAAAAATTTTGATAAATTTTAACTTAAAATGCTAATTGTTTCACCTACTATTCTTAGCTCTAGATTATATGAAAATTTTGGAAGCAAACGTTTAGCAAAATTTCTAAGACTATTATATTTAATAATAAAATTATTAATGTGGTCAGTTATGAGTGGAATGAAAAATGAATTAATTACTTACTGATTAATACAATATAAGGGTGTTTAGTAGGAGTGTGAAAATTTAAGGTTTTATGCACTCTTTAACTCCGCATAGAGAAAATTGAACCTAAACCTTTGTAAATTTTTGTATATAATTCAATAATTTGTATATTTAAATTAAATATATTGATTCCATTATAGAAAAAATTTAACTACAAAACAGTATGTGTATTATTAAAATATTGGGGTTGGTATTTTAAAATTTCAATATTTGACTTTATATTATGATATAAAAGTTGAGCTTGCCTCCTTAAAATCAAAATAAAATTTTGGATAAATTATAAGCTTAAATAATAATTGTTTGGCAATACTTAGTTCTAGATTTTATAAAAATAAACGAATAGACCCCTTAGTTCAATTTAAAAAAAACTATTAAAATTTTTATAAATATAATTTTTGTAAAATAGCGATAATTGTGCCTAAAAGTAAAAAATTTAATATATAATTAAATAATTTTAAACTAGTTTACGAAAAAGCTTAAATTACAGAATTTGATGACGATCTCTACAAACAATGACGTGGATCTCCTGAATGTTGTCATGGACCCCTGGAGGTCCTTTGAAACCACTGATTTAAATTGATCTTATTACTATATTAAGTTCGATTAAACTTTTAATGTTTTTCGATTATTTGATAAAGTATTAAACCTTATATGAACTTTCTAAAATCTACAAACATTGACGTAGACCCCTGAATGTTGTCATGGACCACTTTGGGAACCAAGTTTAAATTGATCTTATTACTACATTAAGTACGATTAAAATTTGAATGTTTTTTAAGTTTTTAATAAAGTATTAAACCTTATATGCCTTTTCTAAAATCTACAAACATTGACATGCACTCCTTGGGGTCCATATGGACCACTTTGGAAAGTACTGATTTATTTTTTATCATATTACTATATTAAATACTATTAAAATTTGAATGTTTTTTGAATTTTTAATAAAGTATTAAGCCTTATACGCACTTTCTAAAATCAATATAAAACTTCTGGCAAACTGTAAGTTTAAGTAATAATGATAATAATTGTTTTACTATAGTTAGGTCTAGATTTAATGAAAATTTAAGGTCTGAAATAAATGCTTAGCAAAAATTCAAAAATTATTAAACTTTTAAAATAATTATTTTAATTAAAATAGATAATTGAATCTAAATTAAGAATTTCTTATTGAACTTAAAATATAGAATCAGTAGATATAGCATGAAGAAGTAAAAGTAGTCTCTACAAATATGAGTTATATTTTTAAAATTGCGAAATATTCTTATATTCTAATATTTCAATTATAACTTACGTTTTCATTGAATTATATTTCTATTACAAAAATGTGTCTTTCGATTCACTCCGATCGTTAGATCCAGAACGATCCTCCATTTTGTCAGTTTCTGAGTCGAGCGCATCTCGCGCAAAGGGTACAAGGGTCAGAGATCAAAGGCCAATATTTAAAAATACACACACCACAAGTCCAACAAAACAAATAGAAAAAACGAAAAATCCTTACAACACTTCCAGATCAACGTTGCAAGACCGACTGGCAAATAAAATCCATATCACCTCATATTTCTTTTCATAACTCTGCTAAATTGATATGCAATCATTTTAGATAAATACAAAACAATATGGTGATAAGCAACTGATAGTACGACGCGGTATGTAGTAGTATGAATTCGAATTAACAAATCCCAGAAAATTGAAAAAATCGACTTTTCCTCAACGCGTTTCGAGCAAGACTGCTTACAGCAAGTTGCTATCGTCGAGTCGTCTAAAATAAAAATACCTACATATAATCATATCTAATCAAAAGATAATGAAATAATCATAACAAATAGCCGCATTATGATCTGAAGGAACAAGCTTTGGCTGTGCGATAGCGGCACACATTCATACCCGGAGACCTGATAACAAAATTCAAACTTACCGTATTGATAAAGCTGTTTCTCTTTGGCGGCCATGTTGGGGATTTTACGACACCGGGGTAACAAAAACTAAAAAAACTGAAAAACTAAAAAGTACCTTTTGGTGGTTGAAAATAACATGCAAACAAGTCAAGTTTATATTATGTCCACATAATAATCCCTGAGCACACACATGTAGGCGCAAGTCTTGAGAGAGGAATTGCAGACGGCGTTGGAGTTTATCAACACGAAAAATTATCGCGCACGTTATTATATGTTTTTATCTACGGGAAAAACTTTGTGATAATGAAACACTTGATATTATATATTTATCAACACATACACATGTGCGATCGAACTCGTACGGAGAACTACCGACTGAGTGACAGACGACGGACGGTTCAGATTCGAGCGCGTTGCAGTCCGGGTCGCGGTGCCGAGGAGCCGAGCCGCGTGGTCACGGGGGAAAAACACTTTTCAAATTTCCACTTTTCAACTCTGAAGAGTATCCTGGACGGAACGGGAAACACTACACAAAAGCTGATCGTACGTACAACTGAGTACTTGTTGCTCAGGCGGGCGTTCGAAAACGTAGAGCCGACACGGTGTCTTTGTGTTGTAGTATGGATATTCACGCTGTACGTACACTGGATTAGTTTATTATGTGCGTTGTGTTGTTTCCATGTGGTGGGGATGTACTTGCTTTGCGGTGCGACTGTGTGTGCGCGTGCATGTGTGTGCATTAAAACGAATCATTGTACCAATGTTGGGATGTTAAGTGAAGAAGTTGAAGAACGAAATGCTGAATTTTTTGAAAAATACGAAAAAATTTAACTTGTTGTAAGTAGCTTTTTGCCTTAAGCAATTTTCCTGAATTTTCCGATACGTAAACCTAATCCAATTAATCAATAGGGCTTGAGATTCAGCTATTTAGGTACAATGTTCAACTGTTTATTTCGAAATTAAAATTTTAGTCTAACAAAATTAAATTATAACAAAAACTAGTTGTAAGTGGTATTTTGCATTAAAGCAAGTTACATGAACTTCCCAACATGTGTAAATAATCGACTTAATCAATATTAAATAAATTAGTTTATGAGTGATCTACATGTATTCCGAGTGAATTTTTTACACATTACTGAAAATCGAACACGTGTGTAATACAACTCGGAGTCTTTTCTAAAAGCAAATTTTCAAAATTCAATTATTTTTTATAAGTTTCCTTATAATTATAATGATTTAGTTAGCTAGTTTCCTTATAATTATAATGATTTAGTTAGTTATAATGATTTAGTTTGTTAGGACCGCCATACCAAGTAAAATGTCTAATTTTATTCAAATTTTCAAATTTTTTATGATTTTTTTTAAATTGGACGACTGGTCGTAGAGCCGTAATATTTTAGTATGGTCTCCAAGACCATGATATCTACCGGCAAAAAAAGTTTCATAAAAATCGACAAAATATATTTTTTCAACCTTTAATTACAAGAAAATCACCCGGCCGATCTTTTCCAAAAACTAATCAGCATGTTAACTTACCAATATCTTCCGAACGGTTTTTGAATTTTCAAAATCGATTCAGTACGGCGTGCTAAAACTTCGACGCAATTATTTACCCTTTTTTTTGATAATTACATAGAAACGGCTCGGCCGACAGTTGCGAAAACATAAAACCTCTAGTCGTCATAGAGATACATCGAATAGCTTTTCAATTTTTGAAATCGGTTTAGGCGTTTTTGAGAAAACGTCGATTATAGGTCCAATTTTGGCAATCGCCAAAAAAAGCTACTAATTTTTTCAAACTTTGACGAATTTTTAAAATTGAACTTCTTGTCGTAGAGTCGTAATATTTTATACATTTAATATTTAAAAAAAAACATAAAAATCGTCTGAATTCCGAATGACTTAAAACGTCGAGAAAATATAAAATGAGCAAATCAAATTTTTCTCCGAAAACAATTTTCTCATTGGGGAAGTTAAAAATTTCTTACATTTAGGAGATTCAAACCAATTTGAACATCAGTATTTTTGTAGATACAAAATAACAGGAAAATTCTCAATATAAAAAGTTAAGATTTAAAATATTTGATAAAGCACAATTATGATTTTTAAGTTAGATAATAATATAGAACATACCTAATCTTATAAATTATTATTGCTATGACACATGTAGATGCTTTCTAATCTGAGTTCTCAGTAATGCACTTTATCAATTAAAATTATATAATTCTTTTTATCTACGAGTATATGCACTGATGTAACTTTGATAGAAATGTTTTTGATTGTAAAAAAAATTGACTCTCTGTGGGCTTAACTTACTCTAATCCAATTTTTTTCAATTTTATTTAAACAGCAATCAGAATTAAGTGTTCTATATACGTTATATGTTTATTAGTAATTTGAAATGAAAATTGTAAAAAAAAATAATTTTTCAAATAAAGATAGTTGTAAAACAGTTTATTTTAACAATAGTATCAATTTAAATTAATATTTTACCGCGATTTTTCTAATAAAAATATTAGTGTTTTTTAGCAACAGTTAGTCCAGTTCAAATGAAAATATTAGTTAAATGTAAATTTAAATTGATAATATTTTTAAAATGTGATATCTTTTTGGCATGATCGATTTTTTGATTAATTGAATTTAATGATATCATTATCTATTTGCAAATAAGATAATGACACAAAATTAATTTTTATAATCGAATTGAAATATCAAAGAAGATATTATTTTTCAGTACTCTATAATAATAATATTTTCCTTTTTTGGATGAAACTTGTCAATCTTCTTACGTATTTTTTTTTTGATTATTACAAATAAATCACTATCATTTATTTCTTATATTTGTTGATAATAAGATCAGCTTCCATAAGGGCAGTTGTAAATTATAAGGTCAAATTAGAAAAAAGTGGACTATGATCAAATTTTTTCTGAAAAATTCAAGGGTTTACTAATAGCGTGATCAAGGTTGAGAATCTTAGGTTAAATGTTTTAATAGACAAATTAAACAATTTTTGGTATTTTTGTAATTTAAATAAATAATTCATTTATTTATATATGCTTGATGTATTGGATTAGCTAGAAACTAAAAAAGTCGGATATTACATTTTTTATACAACTCGTTGAAATTCTACTAGCACTTTATCGAAGCCTGAAGAAAATTATTAGACCTTTGAATTTTTCTGAAGACAAGTAGTATGAAAAATTTGATTCAGCCCTCATTTTTTTCTGATTTGATCTTGTAATTTACAACTGCCCTTAGAGAACATCAGCAAATGTAATATACAAATGATAATGTTTTAATTGTAATAAGCATTTAAGGAATTACAAATACATAGTAAACGCTAATATTCATCCCTTAAAAAACTATGAAATTTTTTGCAAATATCAGTAAACGATAGTATTAAATGTTCAAATCATTTTTGAGGGTTCTACTTTTTTCTATATTATAGCGTTTAAAAGATTGAGAGTTCTGCTAAGAGTTTTATACTTTTTTGATATTATAATAAATCATAAATTTATTTATTATAATAATGTATTTAATTTGTTTATCAAAATAAAATTCAAAACCAATCAACCACCAATCATTATACAACCATCATATAAGCAATAACAATCATCACACCATTAATTAATTACAAAAAATAGTATATATTTCAAAATCTTTCCGTTATTCGCTATATCAATAATTCGGTCTCATCTAATTAAATTTGTATTTATGTTTATAAATACTGGAATTTTTTATATACATACATTTCGACAACATTGGAACCAAACACAAATATGACCAAATTCATACACATATAGAATTAAAAGCATATAGTTTCAGTATATCGAGCTCGTCATTCGAAGATAACGTCATTTCATGTTTACAATGTCAAATGTGATCACAAATACATTGCTGCCAGATTTATAGAGAATAATAATGCTCTATATACAAAATAGTAAAAAATTCGTAAACGAATTCTTAAAATATCGCTATAAATGCTACAACTTTCATCGACAGTTCATATAGGTTTTCCAAGTAAAAGTTGCTGTACTTACCTATAATTAGAGTTGCTTCACCATCACATTAAACAAAACTAAATTAAATTAAAAAAACTTTTTTTTAATTACATAGATTTATTGCCCATCAAAACAATATAATTTTTTAAGACAATATGCTGGGTGTAAGTGAAATTAAAAAGATTATGTCCTATGAGATATCCTTTTTTTATTTTTTGACATCTCATTTAAGATCGTATGGAAAATTAAGAAAAAATTAAATAAACTAAGCAAAAATATCTAATTGCATTTTTATAAATCACATAAATAGTCTTCTGCTTAGTTCTTAAACTTTTATGTTCATTCCATTTTTTTTTATTCATAAATAGGCACTACAATATAAAATATAAAATATATGTGTAATTACAAGATATAAATAAATAAATTTAAATTGAATTTCTAATTAGTAACATATATCATCAATGAATTATTTCTTTTTTTGTTAAATTTACGTAATTAATTAATTATATACATAATTTACTATATAATGCTTACTAAAATTTACAATGCAATACAATATTTTACTATAAGTGATATAAGTTTCTGCAACATTTATATTAAAGTATTTAATATAAATTATCTAATATATACATGAATTTAAGTTAATTACATTATTAATATAAAAGCCAATTAGTCGCCAGTATAATCAATAATAATAATTGCAGTTTAATCATATATTTAATAAAAATTATAATTTTGCTGCAATTTTTTGCTTTTAACTTTACTGCTAGCTATAGTTGTAGCGAATATATCTTCAACTGCAGTTGTTATTTTTTCTTTAATTTTTTTTTATCTAGAAATATTCAAAGTACTTCAAAATATAAACAAAATCCTGCAAGAAAAATTGTGAATACCTACTTTAAAAATGGAAAAATTTAGAATTAGATTGGCCAGACCAGAAGATATGGACAGTGTCCGAGATATGATACAGGTGACTCTTAACTTGTAATTCATTATAAAACTAAAATTAAATTGAACAAAATATTCACTGAATATATAATTTTATATGAACTGATATAATTAATTATTACAAATTAAGGAATTGGCAGATTTTGAAGAAATGCCCGATGGACCCAAAATTAGTGCTGAAGGTTAGTATGGTGAATTCTATTAAATTTTAGTACATACTAAATATATAGAGTCATGCATGTCATTGCGTAGACTCTACACTGTAGAGTATGTAGATATTATATTTATTTTACTTATATATTATATTAATTTATAAAAATTAGATTTAAAGAGAGATGGTTTCGGAGATATGCCACTATTTCGTTGTTTCATTGCTGAATCTTTGGAACAATCAGATCCTAACAAAAATCTACCAATTTGTTATGCTTTAACATTTATATCTTACTCAACTTGGGAAGGAAAATCACTATTTTTGGAAGATTTATATGTTAAACCAGAATATCGAAACAAAGGCGTAGCTACGGATATGATCAAATTTTTGGCTAAGGTAATACAACGATATTACTATTTTATCATTTTTCAATTTTTTTTAAAAAAGATATGTATAATTTTGATTTTTAGCTTGCTTTGAGAGAAGGTTCATCAAGATTAGACCTTCATGTTTTGGACTGGAACCCTGCTCGAAAATTTTACGAAAAAATGGGTTTCACAAACTTAACTGAAAAAGAAGGCTGGATGTTCTGTCGTCTAACCAAAGGAGCAATGGAAAAGTTAGAAAATTTACCATAACTTCATCTTATTTAATTAGTCATTTTTTATGAATGCTATCAATTGCGTAGAATAAAAAAAAATAGAGACATACACGAATTTGTATTTCCAATCGCTATATATAAATACTAGCTTCGTGGACCAGTTCCCAATGTTCAATCATTTTATATTATTACATATTTGCTAGGAAAGAATTCTAAATATAGGAAATAGGTGAAATTCCAATGATAATTGATTCGGATGCATTGGACACTTTATCCGGTCTTTGGTAGATTAGAAATTATCGAAATTGGAACGAACGTGGTACTTACCTGTAAATTTTAATAGATGTGAAAATATAACTAATTTTTATATAGAAAACGATAATCTTCAAAATTAATTCTCTAAGTAGTTACTAAATAGTTAATTTCGATCAAACAGTTTTAACAAAGTTTCTAAATTTTCCTTTCTAAGGTTTCAGTATCTTTTTATTTGCTATAGAAATGAGCAATAGTAGTTCGGCAGGAATAATTTTTGGTTTCTTATCTTGAGTAAATAAAATTTGTAATATAAAATATTGACTTGGAATATTTACAAAATACTCGTACATTCATCATCCTGGGAGTAGTAGATATTTAATTGAATACAATAAGTTATTTAAGCAATGAATGGTCAAATCGAATATATAAGCATTTTTGAATTTTAAAATTATTATGAAAATGTTTATTAATTTTTAGTGATACATATTTGACGACCATATAGAAAACTTCTTGACTTATTCACAACGTGCACTATATATAAACATTTCTAAAGCTACTTGTTAAAGTATTTTAACCTTTTCCACTAGGATGCCGCCGCTCTGGCGACAAAATACGTATCAGTTTCGGAATTCCCGAGTGGGAAGGGTTAATAATACTCCAGAATAAAATTCTCAAATTTTTTTATAATTCATAATTTTTTACCATTGCACATTTAAAATTAATGAATTGCAGAAATTACTAGTTTGGGTTAACATAATTATGTTTTATTATTTTTTATAATAATTTTGTAATTTAATTAATATTAACTTTACAAAGATTTTATATCCAAATTTGGCAATGTAAATTTTTTAACGAATTTACTTTTATTCGTGTATATTGCCATCTGTTAAAAACACTTTGAGTTTTACCTCTAGCCAAATGAGCAATAGATGTCTCATAATTCAGACTACTAAAAAACCAACAGATGTTTTTAAATGAATTTTTGAAATCTCTTGATAAATGCAATACAGGAATAATAATTATACAAGTAATAAAAAATAAATTACTCAATACTATATATCAAAATTTAATCTTCAAATCATGTATGTCACAGTATTATTTCAGAATGTTTCGATGAAAACGTTATGTAATATATAACTTAATGATATATGAAAATAAGTTTCATAAAAATAATTTAATTATACTTTATAGTATCCATGTTTATTTAAAGTACTTCACCAGGATCGATCAGCTTCTTTAAGTTCCTGATGTCCTCATCGGTATTCTATCACCTTGGATTGGTCCATGGTGATATCTATATTTATTAAATTTGTAATTAGGCACCGGTTTTTGATAATACCACGGTACCAATTTATTGTGGTGATTTTTTTTAACCATAAATCAAAAAGTTCCAGTAGTTGTTAATGTCTCATTGATAAGGTCACTCTTCTTATCATATTGATCAGGATCAATAATATTCAATATCAGTCTTCTTACCAGATTTCATGGTTTCCATTGACTTTATTCAATCGGATTTTTACCTTTACCTGGATCAACGTGCAATCTTTTCATACAGTGAAAATCATCTTCAATATTACCATAAGGAGCCTCATTTGACTTCGTTGAAGTCTTTCTGCAAATATATAAAACAAGAGCAGATGTTCTCATTGATGTCCAAACATCTATAAATATAGACTCTGTTTTTTATGATTTCTTTTTTTATTTTCAATTATAATACATATTTTGTATATATCAGTCAGGCAAAAGTGTTGGCCTTTGTATGAGAGATCATACAAAATACCTGTAGATCATGTGAATTCTTTTATATGTATGATGCTATATTATGTATTATTCATTCGTTTATTCAATTTTACTTATATTTATTTTTACATTCATACTTTCTCTGATTCATTCATCTCATTTTGTTTTTATTACCAAAGTAGCATGCATAATAAGCAAAATTTACAATTGATTGGTACATAGATTCAAAAGTAGTTTTTAAAATCCGCGCCAATTTTGTTTCACGTGATAGTTCCACATTTATCCACTCCATCGTGGCGCTGAGTCACGAGTCAACATCTGTCAATGTTTATTAACAAGAAAACGTCAAAAAATGTTTTACATTTTATTTAAATTTGTTTAAAACTGTATATATTTTAAAAACATGTTTAAAACTTGTGGTTGCATAAATATTATATCGTAGTCGATCTATGAATATGGCATTCGATGTATCGTCGAAGGAAACATGCTTTTGTTTCCTTGAAAATAAAAAAATAATCACAATTTATGAATGATGTTGATATATGACACATTTACCAATGAATTTAGAAATATCCCTAATTATATATTTACATAGGCGACAAAAAAGGTTTCCAAATAAATAATGTCAAATTTTTTGAAAAGTTAATATTAGTCTGAGTATCAAAAATGAGTTCTTACGAAACTGCTACCGGATACCATCCTGTGGGAAATGGTGCTTTTACTAGAAATAATATTTGGCATTATTGCGGAAGAATGAAGCTTTCTAGGATAATATTTCTACTGATAGTTTTCTTGTTAATTGTACCATTGATTACACATTATTTTCTATCAAAGGTAAAGATCCTTTTATAGCAACTTACATAAATATATATCATTGATTCTTGCACGAAGAACATGTAATTCATCATATTAAATAGGTTTATTGAACTTGCCTAATTCAATACATTAACCAACGATTGACCTATTTTCCAGGTTGACTCAAAAAATGCTACTGGAATTAGTAGATTTAGCAAAATTGAAGTCGATGAATTTGATCTTTATAACACATTTAAGCCATCTGACCTGAAACAGAGGATTGATGAAATGTTACGAATAAAGGTAATAGAATATATTTCGAATAATAAAATTAAATGGTTCTTTTGCCCAAAGGCCATGAGGTCATTATAAATCAATGATTCTCGTTCCCTCCTTTCTTTATTATTACCATTACTATTTCATTACCATTACTCACTATTATATACATTTTTATATTTCGGATAATAATTATTTTTTATGGCAGGGTACTGTATCTTCAGAATTACGAGTACTGGAATCAAGAAAACAACAATTACAAATGGATGTAGTAGAATATGGAAATAAAATTAAGATTTTAAAGCAGGAGTTACAAAGGCAGCAGGCAGAGATGGAAAGACTGAAAATATCACTTGAACAAGTATGTTGATAGAATATTTTGAGAATGTTAGCCAATTTAGTATAAAATTACATAAAAAAGGGCTCGTCAGGTTCACACGCGATTGAAGTAAAACTTATTTGCTACTGTACAAGATGGCATTTAAGTAAAAATAAAAACATCATACAACAATTTTGAATAATGTTTATTAGTAATATGGTAACACTCGTGATGCACACATTTATTAGTGTCAACCATTATACACATTTATATATTGATAAAATATAAATTATATATTTATAATAGCATTAAAAACATGTATAATATTTAAAAAACAATAATATATTTAAAGTCATACTTCAAATATGACATGATCGGTTTGTCATTGTAATTAGCATTTAGAAATGAACCTTCATCAGAGAAATGAAGTAATTGCTGATTAATAACTTCTATAATATTTGTTCACACAGTGGATTACGTTAAACAAATATTGTTTTCCCAACTTCACTCATCATGTAATAATTGTGTTTGAAGAACTTCATGTAATTGAAATTAACATAAATTCATTGACTGATGTTATTTTTTTTTACTTTTTCGCTGGCGATATAATCTCATTCTTTGAACAGGTGTAATATCTGTCTTGATTAAAAAATATCATCCATTTCAATAAGTTCAAAGATTTATAGAAACTACGAATAATATAAAAATAATTTCTAATCAATATACTTGCGTTTAGTACACGGCACAAATGTTTAATTTGTTTTATTATTTTTAAAGAACAGGGTAAAATATTCTTCTGATTCAGGCATTTTTCATTAAATCAAGATTTGTACTACGATGTAACTTTAAAATGTTTATTTATCTATGCCGATTTTCTTGTTGATATCGGTACGCATACAACGACAGATCTCTATTCACATACACGACCACTATTCACAGTCGACCTGTATAAAAATGATTTCATCGAGACCGAATGACGAACAGTTCGGGTGTAAAGGAACTTCCGTTGTATTTTTACAGAATTACTTTCTAGTCGCGCCCAAAGAAGTTTTACATCAAAAATTGAAATGTTAAAGTTTTCTTATAGTGTATATAGATTTTTTTATCCTTTATTTTTTATTTCTCAGGCTCAGGTGGCGCAACAAGAAGCAGCTTTAAGAAACACTCCACAATTAAAATTACCAAAGCCATTATTACCATGGTATATACCTGAACCAATGTCACCACCAAATAGTCACTCTATGCCCTGCAAAATGTTTACATGTTTTGACCATTCTCGCTGTTCACTGACGTCCGGTTTACCAGTATATCTTTATGATCCGGATACATACACAGTTGTCTCAAAAGACTATGACGTTGATGGATTTTTTGAAAACTACAATAAAACAAACTTTAGGCTACAATGCTCATTTAACTCAAGAACCTAAAGAAGCATGTTTATATTTAGTGTTAGTTGGTGAAGCTTTTAAAAATCCTTCAGAATATGAAAATAATTCAAATAATCGTACATATAAAGAAACATCATTAGATATTAATTTGCTATATAAATTACCTTACTGGGGAGCTGATGGGCGCAATCATGTTTTATTAAATTTTGCCAGGAGAGATTTAAGCATTGGATCGGGAAATGTTTTTAAAAATTTTAACACAGGCCGGCCATAATAGTTCAGTCTACATTTACTGTGTTGAAATTCAGACCGAACTTTGATTTGGTC